GCCGAACTGGCCATCCACTATGCTCTGCGGAAATCCTTTAAGTTCTAAGGTGGGTGAACTGGCTGTTAACAAGTTCAGCTGTTATTTAGGAAGGGAATGCCGCCAAACCTATTGGAGCCTTATGTGGTTCGCCGCTCTAAACATTTGGGGTGGATTGACAGTTTTCCAGTTTCCAGAAGAATGTATCGCGAACTGAATAGCCGATTTCTGAAAGCAACTTTTTGTCTGTATGTCTGTAGTCTCCTGGTCTTTTTGCTTGTACTTTTCGGATTCTTTTGACATTGGAATCCTCCCTTTCTTGTAGATGGATTCACGTCTGGGCAGTCGTCTACCTAAGTGCACAGCCACTTTTCAATTTGTTAACGTTCCTACGTAAACAATCAGTCATACAGCTTCCAATTTCTTTCTGTTCTAGAACTTCTGACAACCGCGTGTTGTTTTTCACTACCCCAAGTCAGCTAGCGACCTTGACAACACAGTGCCTCCGCGTCCTTCGTCGGTGTATAACGCGCTATCTTATGAAACGATACCCAAATCAGCTATCGGCTATCTGCGGTGATAAACACATTCCCAGCCTATCTACCAATAGGGCTTTCTGTGAAGCTGCATCGGATCTTCCTCTCCCACCTCAGTTGATGTTAACTTTATTCCGTGAATTTGGCACCCTATCTCAACCATATTTTCAAAACAAGCCCCAGCATGCTTTGTAGAGTCAAGCAGTCAGTCACGGCTCCCCGGGGATTTTTTTCAGCCGTCCCAGCTGGCTTGTCTGTATTTTCCACCAAAATGCATTTAGTCTTTATTTTTCTACATTAACCATAGTGGGTATCCATCAAGCCTCATGTTTTTGTCACTTTCTCACCAGTTCTTCATGACCGGTTTTGTGCTATTCATTGCTTTCTCATTCGCCTTCTTCACTCCACTGTCTGTCGGATCACGTTGCGCTACTTGTCTACTCCTTCTGTTGAGCTGTTCAATCGCTATGTATGTTTGTCATGACACGTTAGTATGCCCGTCTTCAATTCTTTTAGTAGTGCTTGTTTATGATGTAGTGCCTTGTGCTGTTTACGAATTTGAGAACACAAGTGCTATTTTTTCGAACAGTACATCGGTTTTTCACTCTGAGGATGATGGTTTGGCTCGTGAGTAGTATAAAACACTTGATCAGAAACTCCCAGCAACATAACTAGTTTCATTCTTGTTACAACCTTCCTAGGGATCCGTATAACGAAAACTAAATAAAAACTTCATTGAAGTCTTTAATGATCCCATACGGATCCACATGCGGAAACAGAATTGCGTGGCAAGCTTGATTAAAGTTACATCTAATCGATTTATCAGCTATCAACCATAGGCAGATTGGTTCCAGCTGCTACAGTTTCGATCACCAGAAAACGGAAAAGTGGAGCATACAACCAAGCTTTGGGGCGAAGGCATGTGCATTTTGTTCGGAAATTTGGTAGCTACGCTTTGATGCATGAGCGCCACTGATTGCGCGATTGGGCCATTTCTGCAAATGTCGTTAACTTTTGATGATTTGAATCCCGGTGTCCCCGTCCAGGGAGGCGACAGTTACCGACCCGACTAAGTTTACTGATTAGTGTTTTCGTACGTCGTTGCCAGCTCATACACTGTCCACCTCTCGGTCGCTCCCACTATGCGCAGGGCTGGGAAAAAGAGCTCTGCGAGGCAGACAGTCTGACATGTGGAGTACATGTCCTAACCATCATAACCTATGAATTGTGAGTACTTCATCTATCGCGGGAGAGTTCCCTTTTCCTCGCCCCATCTGGCGTACCCCAGCATTGCTAATCCGATGTTCCCTTCAGACCCGACCAATGCGTCGGAGACACCGACGGTCAAACACTGACATCTTCCGTATGTTTTCTGAGCGTAGACGCCACGTTTCTGATCCACAAAGCAGTATGGATCGCACCACCACAGTGTAAACTCTTCGCTTGACAGACAAGCTCATGTCGCGTCCGCGCCATGGGTGTCGTAGGTTGCCAAAGACTGCCATCTCCAGCCGGCCCACCGGAAGTTATACAGCTGTCCAGGCAGACAAATTTATCTACCACGTCGATTGGTTCGCCTGCAAGCATGAGGTTTGGGTTTGATCCCACCCAGTTTTGTAGCAGTACTTTACACTTTTCAGGTGTAAAGTGCATGCCAATTCGTTCGGCAGAGTAATTTAGGTTATTTAAAGTCGTTCGCATTTGGAAAGGATCTGAACCAGGAAGAGCTATATCGTCTACATACTCAATGCCTGCAAACAAACGTCTTGGGTGCACTTCTACTCCTGATGTTTCAGAGGCAGGCACAGAAATTCCAAGCAACATACCAATAACAAAGTCGAAGAGGAAAGCTGAGAGAGTAGCTTTACCTGGACGTGGTGAACCCAGGGGTAAGGCGTCCACAGGAGTTCGCATACAGTGTTCTTATAAGGTATACAAATTTGGAAGGGACACCTTTGATCGCCAGACACTGCCAAAGTTTCTGACGATCGACAATCAAAAGAAGCTTTCAAATCAAGAAAAACGACCAAAGCGGAACGTTTGAAGCAGTGGCGCTGTTCAAGAACTTGTCTTGGGGTAAGGATTGGTCCATGCATCCTCCACCAGGGTGAAACGCAGCTTGATGCTCACGAAATCTGTCCCCCGATAACCCATCAACCTGCGCAACATATTGGCAGAGAGCACGTTAGACACCGGGCTGAAACCACGATGGTTTTTACATGACGTTCTTGCTCCCTTTTTTGAAAACTGGGATGACGGTCGAGGTGCTCCAGTCGGCTGGTATTCTGTTTTCGTTCCAAATTTTCTGTATGGTTGTCAGGCTGGTCACCAGCATTTCTCCACCTTTGAAGAGTGATTAAGAAGACCATCCGGGCGCATTACCGCACTTCAGGATTGATACCTCATGCTGGATTACAGTAGCTGATGGTGGGTTGGTGTCGATATTTCATTCAGCTTTCGCTGGGTTCTTCGAGCGGTTGTGATGGAGACGAAGTGAACTGTTCATGGAAATGCTCAGCCCACCGCTCAAAACAGCGATTGAGACAGTGAGCTGCTGTTCCGTCTTTCTCGCATATTGTTTTACTGACACCTGCCTTTTGGCCCGTTGAGTGGACCAGTTGAAACAGGGCGCGGTTGTTGCGCATAACTAGTTTAAGTATTCGGAAACTAGACATCATGAGTCACAATCAGCGAGGATGCAGAAAATAGAGCTCATTTAGAAGAACCTGGAAATCTGGACAAACATAATGGAAAGGCTGGTGCCAGATATGGACTAATACCATGATTAAACTGGCAGAAGTAATCTTCCTGTGGTATGGTTTGGTGATGCCACCTAGACCAGAGGTTTATTTATGTCGTTGGTAGATCGGGCTTGTACTAAACATTGTTTATACTTGATAACTCACGTGTTAGTCAGTTCAAAAAGTCTTCTTCGTTTCACTTGTCACTTCCACCTTATTAAAATCTAATGTGTGTATTCCGTCACTTCGTGGCGCATGTTAGCTGTAGTTGATACGACACATGAGTCTATGAAAATGGGCTGTAGGTTTTCTTGTTGAATGCGAAAAAGCATTACGAAGGCGTGAATGGGATCATCAGTAGGGAGAATTTCCTCCTTAAGAGACGATCATTCTACCGTACAATCCATTTGCAACCTGATTTTGTCCAAACAGGTACACTAGTTTAGCGAGACAAGACGCTAGAGCTGACCATTATTACGTCACTTAATCTAGTGTTCGATTATTTATGCAGTCGTAGGCGTAACTTACCACTAATTTCACCAGCTTGCACAGGCTCTTCAATCGACGAGGCAGACTGTCAATAGATCTTAGGTAGGCCGTAAAATCTCTCGTCATTATTAGGTTTAGGAGAATAACATCTTTGTCCCAGTTTCGGGAGGGGGTCTGAAATTCACCCGATCATTTGACTTACTGGCTTTTCAATCACAGATTCCGTTTTTGTAGGATCCGTCTGATCATATGGTTCAGTAGAATGGTCCTAAGGCTCTTGTTGCACATAGACCGTGTTGTTATGCGCGTCACAATCTTAGTCTTTTTGAGAGAATGATCTGACGCCCCTCAGAACTAATAATATTGAATCACCAACCAATTCATAAGGTAATAATCAAAGTTACGCGTCTGTTTCTGCTTCAGTTACTTTAGTCGTGGATTACATCCAGCAACATAAGACGCGGTAACTTGGTTATGTGCTCTGTACTTCCAGTGACACCAAGGTGAACAATGGTCTCCACGCCAATGTTAGATTGTTACGAGCCACGAGGGGGGGGGAACAATTTTCGAATGAGATTTTCAAGTGTTTGGGTACTGTTAATAAGATCCGTATTAGAGAATGACGCCTTCGTGGTTCTATTTGCGCTTCGCTGGAGATTGCGAGATGAGGCCAATAATCGGTGTTACCGTGCTGTCAGTTTCTGATGAGATTGCCTTAAGAGAGTGAATGCGTAAGCAAATTAGGATAGTGGAACGGTTACGCTCTAGCGTTCTGTTCCAACCATCTACCTTAGAGCTCGCAAATAAAGCTTGTGGTTGTTCAGTGATGGAAAACCAATGTCAAGATGATGCTGATTAAGGCGGTAGCACCAACTCCAAGTGTCTGCATCCGTGGAGACCCTAAAGATCCTGAACAAGTCACCTTTCACTAAGAATAGTTATTGCATGTCGTGAGCCCAGCTTTGCATGCTACATTACTGGAATACCGGTATAAACTTTAATAAACTTGGTAACACCGGTCATGAGATTCGGTGCACCGGCTTCTTTCGTCCCAATGCAAAAAACCTTATGACGTGACAAAATGTGGCTGTCACGTGGTTGCGTGGTGAGAAAGTGCGACTAATAATGTATCTACAGGTTATTGCGCTTGAAACAAAGCGTTAGTGGATGCATATAAACCCGAATTTAGCCTTGAACTTTCCTGATTTGGAGTCATATTTGTCTCGGTAAGGACAAATTTTACCGGAGAGGACTTTCAGGCTTGACGTCCTGCGCTTGCAACATACCACCACCTTATACTGTTTGTCTTCACGGTATTTAGGTTTGTAGAATTATTGTAGAATGCACTACCATCATCCGCTTTTACCTAAACATGAACTCAAAAACCATCTTTGGTAACACAAAAGCTGTCGGCTCACAAACTCAGTTGCCTAAGGTCCATGCTTTGTCTATCTTTTTGTAATTCACGTCCTATTATCTTTTCCTTGCCTAATTTATTAACTCTCCTTGAACTCGGATTTAGTGGCGAGGGTTTTGAGTCTTGAGAAACGGGACTCGTATGCCCAAAAGAAGGGTAAAAGTGTGTTCCGCCCGAGGGAATTGTGTTCTATGTCGACGGAAAACTTGGCCAGCTACGTCATCAGTAGATTTCGGCACAAATAATCAGGCACACTAATTTTAACAGTCACGATATAAAAAGGTGGGATATCCGACACTGACTGCCGGTGGAAACACAGGCCATTTAAATATGCACACCATCGAACCATTGTTTATGCTCCACTCCTCATACATCATGCTTACTGATACATGCATTCACAACACAGTAGATTCCATAATTTACAGCAAAACACCGAAGGCCTAATGCTTCTCAACTGATGGAATCGCCAAGAATGCAATAATGGTAGCCCTAATATGATTACGTCATATGAACTGCGAAAACTTCCCTTCTTTGACGTTGAAAACTTTTACCAACTGGTTACACAGGATTCTTCCAATTGGGTTCATGCTAATAAATGGATAGTAGCTTCGCCAAATCCCCAAATAAGTGCATGATTTTTTGTTTTTCAGCGTGCTCATACTGGCAAAGAAAACGCCCAGAAGAGACGCCAACACGTATGCTTAAATATTGTACAGACTGAGGAAGACCCTTTGGTTTAGAGCAAGAGTTTGGTACGTAGCCTGAAGTACTGATGCTACTGGCAACTGAAAGAGCCTCCGTATACGTCACTTGTGGAAGAGAGAAAAGGGGCCCACACCCCTGACGACAATCGATCCGAAATTTTTGCACAGTACTTCACAATTATACCTCCTGCGTGAAATCAAACCATTAGCGTTTTGAGTGACCGTCCTTTGAGGCTCAGAAGAAGGGATTTTTATACGGATTAATGCGCGCTGTAACAAAAGTATAACAAGTGGTATAGACACTTGATGGTACCAGTGGACCAGATCCGGAAGTGCAACATCCCGTTTTGTTCAAGGAGCTACCCCTTGTGATTGTCGCCTCTCTGACACACATCTCCTAAGCCATAGGTATGGAAATAATCAGGTCGCTTCCAAGATATAATACTATTGATACGGATAAACCCAACAAAATTGAGTTAGAACGTCCATATAATATTAATGGGTTGACCGACTTGTGTCCTGCATTATAACCGTTCATTAGCCATGAAAATATCGAACTGCACTCATGTGACTGAGGTGTAACAATTCAAATGGTGCGGATGGCATGGGACTCAGTAATGCTCATACTGTGTGATCTTAAGAGGTACTTGTCGTTAAAATGGGGTCTGCAAGACACTGGGTGTTCAGGAGGACATCCCACACATGGAGTCACAAGCTAGTTAGCTTGCTAATCTTGGTGGTTATCCGGCCATGCTCTACCTACTTCTATCTTATAAGAGGCCAAAAATACCAACAGCACTTGGCGTCCGAATTATAGCGGGGACACGGGAACCGTTTTATGAGAAACGGCAGTGGTAGATAAAGGTTTGTACACCTGTACATAAAAATAATGAGGCCGATTTATTCCTCTTCAGGGTCTCGGAACAACAGAAGAATCCGAAGCTTGTACATTTATTCCCGTCCACATGCGCAATCCATAAATAGTCGCGTTCACAAACCGAATGTTCAGGACAAGAGGCCTGTTGTATATTTACTTACCTTCAAGAAGGGTGATTTAAGCCTGAAACTAACTTCCGCAGCAGATACTCGAGATCATTAAGGGAAACCACTTCATATCCAAAGCCGAGACCTTGTTATACATACTCCGGCAGTGGCGGACTGGATACTCGTAACACCTTGAAAGCTGAGCTGGCACGATAAATGGAACAATCTCCCCTATTAATAGGAAGTAGAATAGAAAAAACTGGATGCATGACACTGATTCTCGTAGCTGTATGAACTTATAGTCCACATTGATTGGAAAAGATCATATATCATCTTAAGGTTCGAAAAGAGTCCGCCATAGAGTGGCAACTCAGGATATAGAGTAATTCATCCCGGAAAAATTTAACAGCTCCTTCCCCTTTGAAGTTTATCTCTCCCGTTTTCATCATGACAGATATAATTGAATCACACAAAATAAACTGAAAATATTCGGATTTACTGTTACGTGTTCCTCTAATGCTGATTTTATTGTATATCCTTGGGATGGATTGAAAGTAACGTTGTAATTGTCGTATCCAGAAGGAAGCCAAAACAATGGACGAGGATCCCTTTATAGGTCTAATTGTAACGTCCCCAGGAAAGGCACTGATTTCGACAAGTGCTGCAGTGTATGCGTAAACTGATTGGGTGATTCGGTTTACGAGTTCGATGTAGCTCATTTTACGCGGGGCTTCCAATTTCGACCTCTGGAGTCAGGCTTCTTGAGTTCAGTTCAACAGGTTTGCATACAAGTAAGAAACCGAGAGCTCGCTGATTCTGGTCGGAATATGGGTGAGTAGCATCACAGACTGGGTTGATAAACTAAAATAATTGGAGATGATCTGGACTTAATGATTTTATTGGTGAGCAATAATAGCGATACCAACACGACCTAGGTTGTTCACGGTAAGGAGTATTCCGTAAAACATGTAGGTAGAGACAACAATGACGTACGGAATGAGGATGTTAGCATCACAAAAACTGGGATGGAAGGGCGTGGTCATCCATGATCCGTGGGGGAACGATTGTGACATCATCTATCTGCAGCGTTTATGGTGCAAAAGAAGCTCATTTTGATGGGCATTTTCTGGTCCGGGTTTCCCTGAGGTGTAACGAGTTTCGATACTACAACTTTGACGTGGATTCTGCACAAAAGATAAACGAAAACCTAGGATTTGTGGTTGGGGGCTTGTCCTAACCTTGTGCTGAGAAGCTAAAATACTTAACATCAAGAGGAGCACTGGCTGAAGCGTGATACTTGTTAGAGATGCGGAGATATACATATATGAAAGACGAAGTCGGTGGGTAAAAGTTAGGCTGACAAACAACTGATACTGCTATCTGAGGAGTGCAGTGAGCCAGGGTGAACAAGAGGGGTTTTTCTAAAGGAATACAGCAGAAGGATAATTCAGGAGCAGACGTGAATGCTACCTGCCTGGATGCAATGAATTTGAAACGATGGGTTGTGCACCCTAGCACATCACACTGATCTTCGTGGATTTCAGGGTTGAGCCATTTCTTGCCAAAATATGTAGCGTGGGGCGTCAGGAAGTCAGCGGCATTCGACGTTCGAGAGGATGTAGCGACGGCACACGTCAGTTCTGAAATGTGCAGATATACGGACTGGTATTAATGAATCCACACGGTATACACAGTACACATGCGCACAGGTCGGGTGGCACAGGGAGGAAGACCGGAGTGTAGCGACAACGCACGTGTATTAACCCGAACCGAAACCGGAAGACGGGTGTGTGTATAAAAACAGGTCGGTATAGGTCAGTCCGGGGGGGGGGCTGTACAAGCGCCTAATCTTTCCTGTCCGGGGCTCGTGGTGGTTCGACCATGGTACGTGCAACAGGGAGAGACACATAAGCTCATGTGATAGACGTGCATGCAGATACAGTCGAGTTTCAACTGCGTTATATTGCCCCCTCCCGAGTCCGAGCACTGTCCTCAGTGCTCAGAGGGTGTTTGTGTCAGAAGTAGTGATATCAACCATATGGCTGACGGGTGGCAGGTAGTGGGACGTTGACGGCTGGGCGTCATCACGAGGTTAGGGGAATGGTTTTAACTGGTTTTAATGTACGCATTGCACATCAGTATGTGGCATAGACGGGTTACGGATGACATACGTATTGTTTCACCTCTTCATAATAATAACATAAGGGCCCTGCTACGTCCGGTGGACTTTTGCGGGTGCATCCGGCGGTGCTTTCGGTCGAAGTAAGAACACATGGTCACCCACTTCATACACAGGTCCGTTTGATCTGCGGTCGTATACAGTCTTTTGGTGCTGCTTAGCATGTCCAATGTTTTCGCGAGCAATTTGCAACGTGGCGAATAGACGTTCGCAGAGCGATCGGACGTACTCGTTATTGCCAACGAGGTCTGCCGGGACCACGGGCATGTCTGCGTCAGAAGGTAGTCGAAGGTTGTGGCCGAGTTGTAGAAATGCCGGCGCATAACCTGTCGATTCGTGTACAGCAGCACGATAGGCCAGCATGCACAGGGGGATGTGTTCGACCCACCGTTCCTCTTCATAGCGATCCACAAGGGTAGTTTGTATCTTCTTTTTGGTCCTGTTGGTGCGTTCCACCAGACCGTTCCCTTCAGGGTGGTACGGTGTTGTCCTTGTTTTATGGACCTCTAGAAGTGCACACGTTTCCCGCAGTAAATAACTCTCAAAGGCTGGGCCCTGATCCGAGTGTAAAATGACTGGTACTACGTAGCGTGATATCCAATCGGAGATTATCACCGACGCAATCGTACGGGCATCTTGCTGCTTCACTGGCACAGCTTCATACCATTTGGTTCGGTAGTCAATTATGACGACGATGAAACGGTTTCCATTTCTGGTCTACGGCAGCGGTCCAATCACGTCAATGCCAACTTGATGATTTGGCCCTCGCACGGGGATCGGTTGGAGCGGTGCTCTGGGTGTTACGGTTGGGGTCTTCGTCTTCGCACACACAGTACAGTGTCAACAGAAATCCGCGACATCGCGGTGTAATAGAAACCACCAGTAGTACCGTCTAACGTGTGCTTCAGTTTTCTTCTGCCCCGCATGCCCCAAATCTCGGTGAACTGCTGCGATGGTCCGCTGGACGCAACTACGTGAGACAACGAATCGAGGCTGGCCATCCCGACTATCCATAATGCGAAGTACTCCTGACCGTGACCACAAACTCCTTGCTGCCAGGGATCTCAAAGCCAACAGGCGTCCAGAAGATTTGGAGTTACCCTGCAGCTGGAGGCGGTAAATCTCGCCAATATTTGTGTCCCTGAATTGCTCTTCTTCCCAGTTTATTCGATTAGGCGCGAGTAATACATTAACAGACTCTGGTTCCTGGACTGGCCTTCGGGATAAGGCGTCGGCGTTCGAATATCTGGCGCCCGGGCGATAAATGCAAGAGAAATCATACTCTTGAATCCGCTCTTGCCAACGTGAAATTTGAACGTCGCGGTGGCGGAAACTCTGCAACCATTGTAGTGAGTGATGGTCTGTCCGAACAAGAAAGTGCCTGCCGAGCAAGTAGGGCCGGAGGTGGTCGAGAAAGTGCACCAGAGCAAGCGTTTCACGTCAGGTGGTGTAGCAGTTACGTTCACATTTATCTAGGACGCGGCTACCATATGCGATAACGGCTTCTCCGTCAACAACACGTTGGGACAGTAGAGCACCAATCGCCATTTTGCTAGCATCGGTATCTAAAACAAACTTTCCTGCATCGGGTGAAAAGTCCGGGTATGCCAAAATAGGTGGGGATGTTGATGCTTGCTTAAGGCGGCTGAAGGCTTCATCTCACTCTACGGTCCACGAAACTTTCCGATCTTTTTGGGTAAGCCTGTGGAGTGGTGCACTGACGGCGGCAAATCCTTTGATAAATATCCGATAGTATGATGCCAGACCGAGGAAACTACGTAACCCACGGACATCCGTCGGAGTCGGCCACTCAGCGATGTGTCTGGTCTTATCCGAGTCCGTTTGCGCCCCATCGGAAGATAAAATATGTCCCAGGAACAATACCTCACGTTGTAGAAACTTACATTTCTCGACGTGGAGGGTTAGGCCAGCTCCCATGAGGCGGCATACTACTTCCCGAAGTCGACTGTTGTGTTCGTCGATTGTGCGGCCGTGAACAATGATGTCGAATGATGATGACGAATGGCAGTATCACTTTCGTCTAAGTCGTCTTTAGGGTGCAACTACCGACAACTTTGTATGTGGTGACATCCCAGATAGGTGAAAAACTGATTTACTAGATCGTCTCAGAGGAATATGGCAAACAATCGGGAGATTTATTGTTGAGCGACGTTTAAGTTTCGATCTGCTCAGATAACAGGAGGCGGTGCGCAGTTAGTGGCGAAATGGTCTTGGTCGAAAAGTACAGTATCGAAGTAGAGTATGATTCAATTAACCACCCATCCTTAAACACATTTTGTCGGCACCCTTCGACGAACCCAGATGAACGAACGTGAACGAACCCAAGAGGATTATTCCATTAAGGTGTCCTAGACTGAACAAGCAAGGCGAAAAATCCGGGTTTAACATGAAGACAACTCTTCCCCCCTAACCAGTATACCGTAAATATTAGTCATCCCCACCAACCAACAAACAGAAACATCATACTGAATACCCAGCACTGATCAAGTGGGCTAGTCATCAGAAATCTCACGGATTGATTAGCTGACTGACTTAAAACTCAATCAACCTACTTATTTACTACTCACTTGGCCTGACAAAACGTTTGTGTCCAAAGTGAAACGTTGCTCAGTAATAAATCCACCGTTTGTTTACCAGTCCTTACTGAAATGATGACTATCCAATCGGTCCCAAACATTTTTCACTTGATTGCTTTGCTAAATCTTCTGAATGGCACTTCAAGTTCATGGTGGCTGGAATATCATTGACCTCTATTGTATTACCCTAGTCTCTGACTACTCTAAAATTCTGTTGTCTCAGCGTAATTTATGGCAGAATACCTCCAGAGCACTATCCAACGGTACGTAGAAGCGCCATCTGAGGTGACAATCGGTTCCTCGGTTCACCCTAAGCTGAAAACTCGGGTTGTTTTGGGCTCACTGCCTAGTACACCATCTGAAGTAGATTATTCGTTCCACGTCAGATGTGCAGTTCAGAATGAATGAATGCACGACGGTCGATAATAGCCAGTACAGAAACAAACAACCGTACTTGTGCTTTGCCTTTGCATAGGCATCCTGAATTTATCTAGTCATGGCAGAACTGATAAAGTCAGATGCTTTTCATACAACAAACGTCTGTCTACTGAGACGCAACAGACACTGCGTATTGTTCTACCTATTTAAAGAGTGACAATCCTCGCCGCATTGGCAAACGTTTTTGCTCGGTGTGGTACGATGTATATGACTACCACAGAAAATGGACACCGGAGCATAGTTAGATACTAAACAGTTGGGAATCAATATACTACTTCCTGTATAAACTATATGTGGTAATTAAGTTTCGTACGTATGGTGGTACGATTGACTACCACAGAAAATGGACACCGGAGCATAGTTAGATACTAAACAGTTGGGAATCAATATACTACTTCCTGTATAAACTAAACTTGGTAATTAAGTTTCGTACGTATGTCGGTACAACCCGACAAACTAGAAATCCAGAATTCAGCGAAGAGTGGCAACCAGCACGTATGTATTCGAATTGGCGAATATGTACAGCATATGGAATATTAAAACAAGAGAATAATGAATAGAGCAATGAATAGAGCATCAGTCATGTTCATCACA